ACACACACATTCAAACACAAAGACTTATCAATTTTGTTTTTGTTTTTGCAGGTGCATGCATGCACAGAAAATACATGCACATACATGCACACACACACACATACATAGTGTTGACTTCACATGCACACATCAGAAAGAGTGAAAGATGATCTGCCATTAAGGATGAAAACAAACCAGTGAGTGGGAGGTGTCCCCCGAGGAAGTCTACAGTCACTATAGTAGAACCATGGAACCATGGGAACTGTTAAGCAGAGGCCTGCAGGGCAGCCACTGCCAGACATGGGGGTGTGTGACACTGCCACACACACACACAAAGCACACACACACAGTGCAGACTAGAGACAGGAACACCAAGATGTTGGCTTCAAATCACCTCACCTGTCTAAAATAACAAAAGCTGACACTTTATTGGCTGTCAGAGGAAGACTGATTTATTTAGACTCACCTTTGATGTCTCAATGATGATCAAAGTGCCAAAATAGTGTAATAAATGTGGGTTTTTAAGATTGTCCCAGGCGTCTGTTGCCCCCAGTCAGAGTCGTCAAACAACCACAACAGACTTACACAAAACACAACTCTTGATTGAAAGCATATAAAACAATTCATAAGAACCTGCAATGGCGCCTGAAGACCCCCACTTTTATCAACGACACACAGTTGAAGTCACATGTCCTAAGTCACATTTCAACAGCAACAATTAATCTGACTGTTTGGGAAAGAGTGATCTTAAAAGAGTGTTGATGACAGACACGTTTGTGAAGCTTGTATTTAATCTTTGACAATTGTGTGGGTGAGGGGAAGAGTTGATTTCATTGCTTCTCTAATAGTTGACAGGAGGAGGCTGGAGGTTTTCACTTCTTACTGATCAAGCATTGTAGGAACTCAATGGTGAAGGTCATTAGTTCGGTTGGTTAGTCCCAGAATGATGTCATTTCTTTTAGATGGCCCTTGACTTTGCTGTGTACCAGGTAGTTGGTGGGGAACCAATAAGGAGGAAGGACACGTCTTTAATGACTAATTATGTTCCCACGTGACTCTAAACCATCTTGAAACAAACCTCCTCATTTCACACAGCTTGCATACGCAAATGAAAGTGAGGGTTATGGGATGACTGAAAGTGTGTTTTTGTGAACTGCTAGTATAGAGAGTTTCTCCGCTAGAGCAGGAAGTGAACAAAGACCAGGTCCACAGGGATCCTTGTCCCCCCCCCTCCCAACTACTTTGGACCCCACTGTGATGAGGGAGAGCCTGGCAGAGAGCTACAATGTGTGGGGTTTCATCTCCCAGTGTTAGTGTGTGACCGTTTGTGTGTATGTTAATTTCCTGTTTTATGGAGGAAGTAGTGTTTGCATGTACAGATCATTACTCCAGCCCTTTTCTGTGAGAAAAAAAGATGAGAAAAAAAGAAAAAAATATTGTGTCAGTTCTCATGAATCTTTATGGGAAACAACGAGCATTGTTTTTGGGAAATTGCCCAACCATCTTAGCAAAACATGTTTGGCTTCCCCTGTAAAGTGTAAAAATATATCTGAAACAAACTCAGAGACATTTTCAACTCTAGTTTCTTCAACACTCAAATGCTGTACTGTATTAATAACGAATTGATCAAATTAAGGCCAGACTGGTTAAACACAGAAAGCTGTGGTCATTATGCAATGGCAGGAATTCTAATCTAAGCCATTGGCGCATCTTAATGCGACATAGTCATTGTGGTCTTAGCCTGAATACCCTCTAACCAGTGTCGTAGCCACAGGTCCACCATGCAGTTGTCTGTTGGGTTTCTTTTCATGAATGTATCAAGACCTTAATCTGACTCGCAAAATGAAGTCTTGTAGTCTAATGAGGAGAAGCATAAGGTACTTAGATACACTGTTTTGAGCAAGTTATTTTTTCATTGCATTTATTTATTGCAGGAATAGTGTGGGGTATCTAATGACACTAATGGTATCTAAATTCTGTGTTAACTTAGTAAGAGCTTTTTATATCTTTAAAAAGAGTTGGTCTTCGTTTAGAGGCCGCCATTGTGTGCTACCATGTTTCTCCATCAGCACAAAACCGACAAACTAGTTTTGGCCGTTTGTGCTTTTGTTTGAGTGGCTGCCAAACTCCTTGAGACACAAAGTAATGCGCAAAAGAATCAAGTCTTTGAGGGTAAAAACTTTACATATAAAGAGTCGTACTTCTGATCAGGATAAATCACAGCCCGGGTTTTCTGATCAACCTACATTCAGGGGTCACAACAATGTTCTCTCACACAGAGTTTTGACAGCTCCATAAATTGATCTGATAGTGATACAGTTTCTCAAAGTGCCTTTTGTAAGCTTTTAGTTATCCTCTGGGTTTGAATGGGAACGGAGTCTATACCCCATGGAAAAGTAGTCCACTGTGGGAACTGAAATCTACTCGGTGTATCGCAGCACAGAAAGGTCTCCAAAGACCGAACATGGATGAGAAACTACCTTCACTGGGATCCCTTCATACTGGAAGAGCTCTTTCTTTCTCTCAGTCAGTATGCTGCTCTCTGTCAGCGATGCAGCACTATCCACTAGTGTGAGAACAGTTGCATCACAGCTCTCGCGGTTTCTTAGCCCCTGGCCCCTGTGTTTCTCGGTCAATCTGTGGGAACCCTGATTTTGGACAGCAGCCTCTGTTCCCACCACCAGCTTGGTTAGAAAATAGACTTCTGGTCATGTACCAGGCACCCAAACCAAGCCGGTTCTAACCCACTCCTTCTCACGGGTTCAGGGGGAGGAGAGGTCAGCGGCTACAGAGGAGGCCCTAATGCGTTTCGTATGCAGGTACCACAGAGGCGACACGGGATACTGCGCGCATGAGAATGAGAGGACTTTTAATGATTCTGTACTTTTTCCAAAACACTCCCTCTCTCTTCTCTGTGTTTCCTGCATCGTCCCCTCTGTCTGCCTTTCATTTGAATTTATAAATAGTGCTTTAATCTTGAGATCATAAGATAAAGCTCTGCGAAGGACAATGCTTGACTTTGTTACAAGACAAGAACAAAAGACGCTGCTTGTGGGGAAAAAAAACCCATCTTTTTTTCTTCAATGATTTTCATTGTTTGTATTTTTTTTTAATTTATAATGTTCACAGTCAGTCTGCTAGCTCTCTTAATATGTCAGCCACTTAAAGATCAATTTGCTATATTGTCTCGTAAACTAATTGATAATGCCTTTGACTTCAATTAAATCCAGACAATGAGCCTCATCCAGGGAAAAGAGAGAGGTACAATTTTCACAACAAGAAGAGCTCGGCAGAACAGAGGACGGATGAAAAAAGCAGTTCCACTCATGTATGTCCATGACAAAGACACCAGAGCACCAGATGAGAGCTCCTCTGCTCCACACATGTGGACTAAAGAGTCGGGTATCTCAGAGTGTGTGAAGACAGCTGGAAAATTCCCCTGAGCCCCGTCTAATTGAAAGCTTATCATCTTTTCTTTTGTGCTTCCTGAGCGGTAGGGATCAGTGAGGACCGGCTCAGAGAGTAGCTCTCTGATGAGACCTGGAGGAGATGGGGGGGAATATTTAAGACAGTGCTGATCTGTCATACACTCACACTGTGAAGTGGGGCTCAAAATGGGTGAGTGGGTGGGGGGTGGTGTGAGATCTTTCAGCAGGGGATTCTGTCTGTGTGCATGTGTGACTGTAAGTTTCTTGTGCATGAGTGGAAATGCTTTGAGTGTGTCGAGTTAATTGAATGCAGTGTGTATCGAGGCTATGTGTGTGTGACCTGAGGCTTTGTTGTTGTGCCAAAACTGCCCCCACAGAGGGCCTGATGCAGACACAGCGGTACAGACGCAGACAGGAAGAGACAAGGAATGAGTGAAGTTACAAGAGACATTAAACTTGGGAACAAAGAGTGAATAATTTTAAGTATTTTTTGGGGTCTTATATTGATGGTACAGGGTGAGGTATGGGGAGATAGAGAGAGAGAGAGAGGGAGGAGGACATGCAGCACATGGTCAGGGCCGGACTCAAACCCACGACTGCGGTCTCCATACAAAGGGGAATGCTAACCTGCTCGGCCATCTGCGCACCCCAAAGAGTGATTAACTTTAAGGAGGAACTAAACATTCACCAAGTTTAAGCCCTTTCCTGGTGCATGAACAAATGTCATTAGTTTGGAAGTGATTACTTTATTCTAAGGGTAACCACAAGAGACATCTAAAATCAGACCACCATACTAGTAGCAACTTGTGTTTAATTCTGTTCTTGGCTTCACATAGGCTGAACAAATGTAATTAATACTGCATAAATTAACCACCACGACTGGTAAAAAGACGGACGCTCCAACTTCTCCTGTATTGTTTTAACAAGTAACAACTTGTGTGCACTAACATTGAGGCTGCCAAGGCGGCGTTGGATTCTTGAGCTGTGCTTTATTTACTTTCTGGGCTCCACAGTGTTGACAGCTGACGCATTTTGAAACCTGTGAGAAGTGTGAGCAATCGCCTGCAAGAGTCTCGCTAATAGAGAGGAAGATAATTATTAAGAGAGGTTACTGGAAACAAACTATCAATAAACTGTCAGGGTTATGTGACAGAGGCAGTGACATATGAGGCATTTTTCTGTTTGAGGCTAAAGAAAAACTGGATCAGACTGTGCTAGCATGAAATGAAGAACATTTATGGTGTTTTCCTTCCTGCTCATTTGTCAGGTGTCTGGCATTCTGGGAGTGAATTATATCCTTCACCTTCATGTAAAATATTTTCAATTTCCACACCTCTCCTTGTTAAACTGCAGGAAACAATCCAGACTTTCAGGCATTGAGTTTCAAAATAAGAGGACTCTCATCATATTAAATAGTTTTGTTTTTTCTTTTCTTTTTGTAAGTATATGGCCAATAAATGTTGGCTAGTGTGGGTGTGATTTTCTCGAGAGAGCAAGTGGTACATAAGTCAAAATAAAATGGTGTGTTATTATAACTTTTTTCCACTGGGGTTCATTTAATTAAAATGGTGTTAAATAAATAGGACAAAAAAATGAGACAAGTATTTTTTTTTAATTAAAATGGTTGAAAACTACATTTTTCGCATACTGTACAAGCACTCAATATGGAAGCATTAACGATATTACATACATAGTTGAGATTTTAAATTAACATATCAGTATCAGGTGTACATGCTTTGAGCATTAGAAAAACAAAAGGAACAAGATGAATTAACATGTCGGTATACGTAAAGAAAACAAAGCTTCTTGTTTGAAGAAAATTGAAGGAAAAGTAATGTTGTGCTCTTTGATTCAATAAACATTAAAATGAAACTTGCTCATACACTTTGGCTTCCTAGTTTTGCTGAAAGAATGACCGTAAAGATATGTCAAAACAGGATTCATGTGCCACACATTGTCCCCATCATTAACATGACACAACAGCATTACAGGCAGTTAGTAAAGATCTTTGGTTGTCTTCTGAGGAAACCACACAAATCTAAGGACACATGTGGATACTCTAGCTGCATGATTCTTGCCCAGAGTGAGGTCAAATCCTCCACCTTATAAAGGCTCCAGAGGATAACGTAGAGAAACATGCTTTTCCTCTAACAAAGAAAGAAGAGTGCAATGGCAATAAATTAAAAGTAAGGCAATGGGTCTTTAGTGAGATCTACAAAACACCTTGCATGATTTTTTTGTACCTGAGCTGCAGATGCAAGCCTTTTTGGATCACAGTTTACTTTGGTAACGACTAAATACCCCTGCTTTCTTCTTATGGAAGCCCCTTGATATCTGCTGTAACTGCCTTTATACAGCCCATGCTTAGTGATCAGACACACGATGCAGGAATGTGTGTGTGTGATCATTTTGAACAGAATATGAACACTTTTGGGTTTATGAGACTGGTGTGGGATTGTACAATTGTTAAAACAACAATTTAAGTTTGTTTGAAACATACATTTTGGTTTCAGATTGTTTTTCTTGTAAAACCATAGACTGTATATACTATGGACAACTTGGCTCCGCCTTCCACCATTATACGAATTTAAAGCCAAATTGCTCTTGGTATTTCCACGATTTCCTCCACTTCCTGGAACCACCACTTGCGCAGTAGCGTTGTACACATTTGGCAGAAGAGTCACTGTGATGACGCTCGGCTCAATCATAGAAAACATGAACCCCCAATTAAATATTTAAAATGGAGCTGCACAGAAAAAAGAGGACTTGAGCACAAACCAGTCTTACAGCAACTAAATGTCAACACTGCAACCAGGGTGGAGAAAAATTTGTATTCTGTGTAATAAATTTCTAAAGTTTGTCCACAGCTCCGTAAGGATTGCTGGAGGAGGCGGGATTTATGACCTATACCGTAGCTCATCACCAGAGGTTGCTGTTCTCGCAGTGACTTCACCCAGCGAGGAGGCAGACGGCGTCCATTCTACATACAGTCTATGTGTAAAACCCAAACAAGAGGAAAAAATTGTTGATTCATAGTGCAAAAATTAAACAAATGGCTTGTTTAGCAATGGAAAGCAATTTAGAAATTGTTTACAAGATCACTGCTCTAGATACACCATCTATTCTACAAAATGTGTTGGGCATAGTTCATAAGAAATAAAAGACTTAGTGCATCAAAGCTACATTGGAAGACAAAATAATTACATCAAAATTTTTATAATTTAGAAGCAATATATTACACAAAATCCAAATTTATACTCAACAACAAAACATGGTCTTTATACTGTTTGTGTATATAAAAGGAAAGATGGAGAGAAATGCTTAAAAACTTTGGGTATATGTGTACATTTCCTCACGATTTGGCTCAAATAAATATCAAAAGTAAACTGTGTCCTCCAGTTACAAAATGCCATAACAGGACTTTTTTCAGAAGAGGGCTTAAATAAGAAATTCAAGAATAGAATGAAAAGCAGACACAACTGGAGTGAAATATTCCTGCAGAGATAGAAACCAATAATCATCCCTCTCCATTCAGCTTTTATATCACTTAAAACATCAACATCATTGTCTGGTTAAAAGTCAACACACCGATTTATGACACAGCAGTGGAGAATTCAGTTTTTCAATCCGGCCTTACAGGTAAAATACTTCTGTCTCAAACATGCAGCACGTGTATTGAAGCATCCACTACTTACCATAGCACCAGAGGCTGATGTGTGCATCTTGTTTATAAATTAGGCAACATGTGCTGCATATGCGCTGGAAGTACAAGAAACTACCTTGGATGTTTTCTCCACTGATGTTTTTTTTTTTTTCTGTTTTACCCGATTTTGAAAAGGCATGATTGCCACTGCAGTGCAACTGTGCCTTAGAGGGATATCTGTGCCACTTGGTCACTCAAGCCCAACTTCGCTTCTCAACCTTCCAAGTCAGTTCGATTAGTCTGTGAAGTCTGTTTGATGAAATTCGGTGTATTTTCAGTTTGTTGGACTTTCTGGTGTATCCCAACTCCACTGTCTCTTGTCTCTTACACCAGAGAGTAAATTGGTGCTGTGGCTTCATATCTACTTGCAGCTTCAGTGGAACATCTTAACTTCTATGGCTTTTTGCAGTCATTTTTAGAGTACATGTATGTAGCACAGTGCAGGAGCTTTTCAAATATTTACAAAGACGCAGAATTCTTGAGAGATTTGGGAAAAGGCAAGGGAGCCTTTGGAAGGTGTGCTGGAGAAATCAAAGACAAACATGCAGCATTTCTCTTTTTTTCTTTCGGTGTTCATCTCTTTTGCTCAATTTTATCTCTACTTTTCCTCCCTCACACCATGATTGTCTAGCTGTCTGTCAGTCAGTAAGGTCTCCAAACAGACTCATCCAGGCGGCCTGAAGCACTCATGGCTGTAGGCGAGTTGCTGTGGCTGCTGTCGGCCTCAACCCCCTCGCTCTGGGTGTTCAGACCTGGGTTCATCAGACTGTTGGTCCCTCCGGCCCCCGAGCAAGACAGCAGGCGGGTGGGGGAACGCTCACCCCCGGTGTTTCCTGGCGCCACCATGGAGAACTGGTAGGAGCCTGAACCTGTGCCGTAATACAGGTAAGAGTTGGACTGGAAGTTCTGGCTTTGGTTGTTTGTGTAGGGGGGCGGCAGGTAAGTGTGGTATCTGGAGGAGGCTGACATGCTGAGACCACTGATGCCGGTGCTTGAGGTGTTGGCAGAGTATGGAAAGGCTCCAGGATAGTGCATACGTGGGTCTGAGAAGCGAGGGTCAGTCAGTGGCGAGAGAGATGGAAAGGTTGTCCTCTGTTGGAAGAGATCTGTAGTCCCTGTTGGTGGAAACAAGAAACAAAGTTGTAAAGACAGCTACATTTTGGTGCATGATTTAAAAATACTTTTGTGTTAATGAAACAAAAAGTTCCGGCATCTCTCAGTATTTGTCATTTTGAAAGATGACTTCCAGCACAGAAAACTTCCCAAAAGCCACAATTCTGAGCTCAGGTTTCCTGCGATGTGCCTGTCAATGGAAATGTTTGCTGAAAATAATGAACTGAGAGACTTTCATGCTTATAACAGTCATCAAACACTGACAGCACATCAGCCCACAGCCCTAAGCACAAGACTGGAGTTAAGAGGCCTACTCGCCCTATTACCCTCCCTCGAAAAGAGGGCAACATATACAGTATTCTATCTATCACAGAGCCATGAAAAGAGGCATTGTCAGTGCTGAGGGGTGCTTTGTAAAAACACCGACGGCTTGTTGTGCTGTTGTGCAACTCATCATAAATCATACTTATGTGGCAAATGCAGACGGTCACAATTAGAAGCAGACGGAGGGAGAATGAGAATGTAAAGAGGAAGAGGGAAAAATCAGCAAAGATGGTTTCTTGAGCAGATAGCCCTGAAATGAAGTTGAATCTCAGTCTAATACCTGTCAGAGTTGTGTAATGTGTAATATCACAGGTAGCGTAGGAGTGTGAACACAGCTTAAAGGACTTTAATTTCATTGTGCACTCTTATTTTAGCAAACAACAAAGAGAAAATAGAATTATTAAAGATCTGGGTCCCTTCATGTATCATAGATTGCTCTAGTATCCTGAGTTTCAGATTTGAGCCTATTTCCTCTTGAAGAATACCTGCTGTCTGCCGTCACCTGCTACCAGCCAAACCAGCATTTTGGTTTGGGCACAATTATGTGACATAATGTAGCTTTATTGTGTGTGCTAAAAGATGTAGCATCAGTTTTATGAGTATAACCATATAAAAACCAAGTAGGTCTGTGCCCATAGACCTTTTTTTAACTTTACTTTTCTTCTGAAAGTTGCATTTTAATCTCCTGCAAAGGTGTGCAGATCAAACCTTCACCTGGCGGGTTATATATGTAAGCCTTTGCACTCTTGACACATAATTTGTAAGAAGGTGAGGTGGTCAGCTGCCAGGTTGAAACCCTCTGTACTTGTAAATGCCCTTCCTACGCAAATATAGAAAGTATGGAAAAGTATGGAAAATGAAAAATAAAGTAAGGAAGAATATTGATGTTTCCGGGCTATTACCACAGTTCTAAAATACTGTTTTCTGAAATAGAAAAGTAGGTATTTCCAACAATAATTCTAAAAAGTAGGGTATGGAAAAGTATGGAAATTCCATCCGTGTAGGAACCCTGATCCAGTATGTACTACACACTTGCTGGGGAAGTGTCTCATAACTGATGATAATATACAAAATGCTCTGCACAACCTCTGCTTGTAGATAGACTTACACACACCTCTGTCTATGGTTATTTGTTTGTCTGCATGTGGTTTTCAAGGGTCCAATGTACCCACATGACTAGAAGTGTAAAATGTGGATTTGGATGGCAGAGAAAAGAGAGCTTGTATTTGTGAAATAGCAAGCGTTTGCACGCCACAGCCCTGAGGGGGGAGAATGCCAAACTTGCGTGCCACAGTCTTGTTCAAATGTCTTTTCCCTATGTCTTGAAAACTGGATCCATTTTCATCGACAAAAAAAAAAAAAAAAGGTTGCTTTGCTATTTCCACGGCCCCTGCTAAACTAGTTTTTAACAACACATTTCTGCAGCTGAATTTTCTCTTTCTTTTTGGGATGAGGGAGTTTAGGGGTGGTGGTGGGGGGGCTGTTTCTTTTTCCAAAGTCTGCAAGGCACCAGAGTCAAGCTGCATATCTGATTTCACGCGAGGAAAATCCAAGCCCTCAGCTGCTGTTGATTCGGGTGAAGTGGAGTAGGCCCACTAATTCCTACCGGACTCCCAAAAAGCCATGCGTCTCTTTCTCTCTTTTTCCCTCTCTCTTTTTCTCCCTCTTATCTTTTCTCTTTTACTCTTTCTGACTCTCATCCTTTCCTTCTAACTCCTTCTTTCTCTCTCTCTCTTAGTCTTTCCTTTCACTCTGTCTACGCTAAATTTAGGCTCTAAGGCAGAGCTCGAGAAGGGATGAAAGTTGTGGAGACTTGAGGGCCCTGGCTGCCACAGCCCACCCCTGCACATAATCTCCAGTTAATTTAAGTATGTGGAAACGTGTCGTCTAAACTGTGGTGAGAAACGGACTTCTGCGTCCTGTCAGGGGAAACTGCATCGGACACTTATCACCACACCTTAATGGGCTTTTGCAGCATGAAGCTCTTGGCTTTGTGCCATGGGGGAGTCTGCTACTACCTTTAACTCAGTACGGCACAGTAGCTCCCTCTTGAGGAGAGGGCTGAATGGAGCACTGTGGAATTTAGAGCCTTGTTGTCTGCTTTTTCCTCCTTTTTTTTACCATGTTACATACCTTACTGTATCCACACCCTCCCCCACCCAGTATAAGTACAGGCTTCGCTGTTGTGGCTGTGGTAACTGTGGTGTATCTTTGGCAGAGAGGGTCTTCCTAACTGAGTCTTGTAGTAGCTGCCTGTAACCTCTGCGGCCCAAAACCACACATGATCTCCATTAGGCTCATCTGAAATGTGTTGACTAAATTGCAGGGACAGGAGAGGGGATGGACCCCAGAGGGCTAGCTGGCAAATTCTTCTGTCTGTGATGTTCCCAGTCTATGAAGCGGGTAGCTGGGAATCAAGGCTTTTATAGAGCACATAGTGTTCCAGCCTTCTCTTTGCTCCTCTAGCTTTGAAGCACAGCACTGCAAACTTTTTTAATCCTACAACACCGAGGGTGGAGGCCTCCTCTTCTTCTTCTATGCGTAGCTCAAGAAGTCCACTAGTCCACAGTCAAGCGTGTAACCAAGATATGGCAGGAGGTTTGCTTCATTTGCGTATGGGAGAAACTGATTTTGGTTGTAAACTCAAGGGCAGGTTTGTGGCGGTCATGTCTCTGTGTGTAAATGTGTGCTTGGTTCTGCTTGGTTCTGTGTTTGTGTGTGTGTGTGTGTGTGTGTGTGTGTGTGTGTGTGTGTGTGTGTGTGTGTGTGTGTGTGCTTGTGTCTGTATGTGGTGGCTGGCTATGGGGAGATGCAAATCCAGGCGCTCACCTGTGAAATGTTTACTCAGGCTTGATGCAAACTGTGACTGCCAGCGCCGGGGGAATGGTGTCTCAGGCAAATAAGTGAAGGGAAAGAAAGGGAGAGAGCCAAACCTCATGTCTCATCCGGCTACGTCTGTATACTTAAGCATGCGCTGGTGTGCTGTGAGATTGTTCTCTTATCTACTCCTGTATTTTCTACATAAAGATTGCTTGAACGCTTGAAGCCATAAGAATAAGCAGTCATTGTCCATAACAGAGTGATGTAGACAAAGGGCAGATCAGCTGCTGTGCTGACCAAAGAATAGGAGACTCAAATGATCTCCAGGTGTTTTTTTAAGCACCTGAGGCTGCAGGGCACGAGCATCATGCACCCAAATGCAAATAACAATCACCTCTGTACTGTGGCGGCATGGTCAGGAGCCCCAAAGCCTCATCCATGTTAGGCTCTTTATCAAGTGAGCGGAGAGAGTTTTGCATGTCCCTAACTTGTGACATGACAAACAAGCAAAGGTTAAAGGGAATTTGTGATGACAGAAAACCTAAGATTTCCCTAATGCATTTACAAACAAGGAGACATGATTAAAGTTTTTGTTAAGTAAATTTTTTCATGACAGATTTGATACTTCCTTACAGCCAATGAAAAGACGTGTGCCTTGCTTTAACAAGTCCACCCATTAGCTCTGATACATGATCTTTATTATCTGGATATCCTTGCTGTTTATAGTTTGGGCAGTAAGGTCACGCTGTAACATCTGGAAATGTGTAAATACTTGATTTCAATACGGAGCTCCAGGCATTTTGTGTTAAGAGCTGAATCAGTGAACCAGTTTTTAAATCTTTATAATCTTCTGTAGGTATCTGAATTTGTGCCCTCACCACAGTATGAGTGGATGATTCAGCATGTCTGATGTGGTGTGGTGGTTTCTGGGTTAGGGTCAGCAAGGAGACTGAGGGGGCTGTGAGGCAGCGGGAAAGATACAAATTGCCCAGAAAGAAATGAAAGAAAGAGAGAGTGGGAGGGAAGGAAGGAAGGAGAAGAAGGCAGGCAGGCAGGGTGGTGGCGTTACAGGAATGTTGTGGGGTGTAGTAGGGCCCTACAGGCAAACGAAATAGTCTCCAAAATTGTCACAACCAATGGCACACCCTTTGCTTTATGCATATTTCCCCACTTCACTCCATTATTATCGACAATTTCTATGTTTTAATCTGAAGGGCAATCAGAGAGATTTATGAAGCTAAATGTCATTTACGGCTCCTTCTGAGATGATTTTTAAGATAAACCATTTGAAAGGTGTGGTCTGTATTTGGCACGTCATTGCTTAACAGTGACCTCACATGAGCTTTATGATAAAATGCAAGCAGCTAATAAAGCTCTTGACAAAATAATACACACACAAGAACAGAGGATTTTTTAAAAATAAAATTATTATTAAGCCAACATCTTGATTTTTTAACTTTTATTATGATACCTACAATAATGCCTAATTTCTACGTATGTACAGTAGGGGTGGGAATCACTAGTGGCCCCACGATACGTTATTATATGGATACTTGGGCCACAGTACAATATTATTGTAATTTTACACATACTGTGATACAGTGAGTATTGCAATACCATAAATTGCAATTTGTAATTTTGTAACACTTGCAATTTGTTTTAACAGTAATTTAAACCTCATGACCTCATATGTCATGTCTGTCTCATTTTGCCTACTTGCATTCCTAATGTCCCTTCCCAGATGTTGCTGTGTTTGTTGTACTAACTTTCTCCTCACTGGACAAACAATTGGTTTCATTTTTTCCATTAACATAGACTTAAGGTCATATTAGCAGTTAATTTGAAAACAGCGATACTTGGTGGATGAGACGATACGATATGTCACCAGACAAAATATCGCGATACGATGCTGTATCGATCTTTTCTCCCACCATGAATGTACAGTGTGTGTACTGGGGCTGGTCAACCAGAAGTCCATTTATTCTCACAAGAAATTCAATGAAATCAAAGCGTGTGCAAAACTCTCCGTCTCTGTAATATTGCTTCAGTCAGGGATCTGCCTTCAGTAACTTTTGCAGAAGATTTTAGAGAAGAAAAAGAAAAACTTTATTGATCCCCGGAGGGAAATTCAATAGAGAGACCATATCACAGTGTACTTGCAAAGCCAATTGGCTGCTAAACCAATAACAGTCATTTCTGGTGCCCATGTTGTTTGTCAAGTAAGTTTGTATGATTAAAAAGAAGTTGTTAATCTAGATCCAACACACTGAGTATCTGTAATTCTACTGAAAGATGGTTATACATGACATACCATTATATTTTCTACATTGATTTAATATGTCATACCATTAGTTACCACACACAATCATTATCTGCCTCATGACTCCAGGTAGTTTCTATAGTTTTCTCTATCTGTAAAGAAGTATTGTTTCTTGCATTAGACATTGAGGGTTTTATCTGTTTATTTATAGATCTAGGGCCACCAGATCCACACCTTTATGTGGAAACAAAGTTTAAGTCTTTGGCATGGAAATTTTTCAAAGGTTATTATCACTATAGATAAGTAAGGATTGTTGTCTAAAAAAGTCTTGTTAGTGTTTGCTGATGTAATATTTACATCAGCAAACAGTTAAAAATTCCTCACAGGAGCCTTGAGTGAGAGAATTAGAAAAGAGTGTGGAAAGAGTTGGCAAACACGTATACAGACCAGTGAAGAAGAAGTGAATCGCATGTCTTACCTGGCCATGGTCGAAGGTCCTCCTCCACTTTGCATGGCTTCAGAGCTGGGGTGTCCATCTGTTCTTGCCACAGGGCTGGTCAAACAAACAAGATGATTAAAATGTTAGTTCTCGAAACTTATTTGCACTAAACCAGAAGAAGAACTGTGTTTGCATAGGAATGCAAATTAAAGTCTTTCATCCACTGCACTGTAAGCATCAAGTGTTATGTGTGAGTTTTATGTGTGTCTGTGCCGTAAAAATCTTTAATAATGTCAAAAACTCTTCATGACAGACTTGTCAAAACTGACGTCTAACAGTTTAGAGATATCTTTCTGTCATAAGTGGGCTTGTGCTGACTGAGCAGTGAAGACTGGGAACGGGGGGGTGCTTCTCTCACTATAGTGAGACCAGGATTGGAAAAACATGCTTGATGGGTGGAAGGGAGATATTTTTGGGTCTTTTAGGTGAGACACTGGAGGGGCAGCGGGGACCTGTGAAGTACAGGACACTTGCTAGCCTGTCCAGCCAAGCTGTCAGGAAGCGAAGGAGGGTCAAGGCCGTACTGGCCCAACGCGTGGGACCCTGCTTCACACCCAGTAGCCACACCGCAGGAGGGCTGACACAAACAGGAGCTGTTTGCTCTGGGTCTGAAATGATGCAGTTGTTACAAGACATCTCACACGAAGCCCTGTTCAAATGGTCAGCCTCAGCATTGGTTTGACTCAGGTGTATACTCTGTATGCCTGCTTTCTAATGAACAAAAACTTGTAAATTTTATACAACCATTTCCTTTTCGTCTTACAGTACACTGCCCTTAATGACAGCAGCAGTCAATCAACCATGCCCCTATCTTATACCACAGTATAGTAAACCTCAAACCTCCTGGAGTGGCAATCAGGAATAAGGCAGATGCCAAAAGCAGAGAGGAAGTGGGCTGGGTCATTCACCTGGAGCTGCAGTGGGCTCAGCATGTGCAAGATCTGTGCTTCCCAGGGAGCTCCTTTACTTCCTCTGCAAAGGCCCAAATCAGCACTCAGCCACCAAGAGGTCCTGCACTATGCCTCACAATGGCAAATTCTTACACATAAATGGCCTTATTCAGACAGGCTTCCATGCAGCTGGTGCGATTCGCTCAAGAAAATAAACATTTCCTTCAAATATTTTGATTGGCCTGCAGACAACGTCAATACCAGAGGCACAGATTACCCCTGTTAATAGGAGGAACAGCCCTCTGGGCGGGGCTGAGGAGTGGGTAAGGCAGGGACTCAAACAGGGAAAAGTGGTGACTGCGTCATGAATAAGAGCTTTGGGGTGGTGCCAGTGTAGTTTTGGGGAGGACACAAATAAACACATGCACTGCTTTTGAAGTGCATATGTAGATGAAAGGGGAGCTAAAAAGATGTTTGAGCCAAAATGGCATCCATCCTCGTGACTCCGGATCCAGCAACGCCTCTGAGACATGTAATGTGCCTGCCGTAATGAAGCGTGTCATTGAGACACAGTGAATGCCGGTCCTTGTGCTGGCTTCCTGTTTCGCTTCGGCCTTAGGCGTTGCAACAGGGAGAGAATGTGAGAGAGCAGGCAAGAGAGAAAGAAAGACGCCAGCGAGGACAGGAGAGAGAAAGAGAGCGTGTTAGAGAAGGGAGGAACACGGCCTTGGCTCAGCTATGTGGGACATTTGATATGTCTTTTGAGCCCTCACTTATAACATGAGCAAAAACAAACACATGGGTTGAAAAATCCTGTGTTCTCTTTGAGAGCTTGTCACCCTCCCACCCTCACCCTCTCCCCAGATTGAATAGAGACTGTTCATGGCACACATGTAGATTCTGTAATTGCTGAAAAGCAAAACTCTCTCTGACTCTGATGTGAAATTATAACTTACACAAACAGTTGAGTCTAGTAAAAAACGACTTGCTCCCATTTCTCTTTTTCTTCAATTTTTTCCACTTGGAAAGCAGCTTCAAAAGATTTTTTTTCTTCTTTTTTTGCAAATGAACAAATACATTTTCAGTTTGAATTATTCATCTCAGGGTCACAAGAAGAAAGTAACCACAAGTGAGGCTTTTGGGCACCATAACAAACAAACTCTGTGGCAGCCATTGACATATTGTGTAAATAGAGTAGTTTAGAAGTAAAACAGGGTGCCTAAAGAACTGATCCAGATTCCTACTCATTTTGGTTGTATTGGCCTCAAAGGGCCAGCTTCCTGCTTGGGTTTGGCAGAATCAGCATGAAATCCAACCAGCGTAACTCAAAAGTCCACACCACAGCTACCTGACGATGTTAATTTCCTGTCTCACCCTTGCTTCTAATTGGCCGATCATGTCATTCTCAGTGTGTGAATTAGTATTCCCTAGCAGAAGCTATGTGCCACTTGGAACGTGGGGGGCCGGCCAGCTTGTTTATGTGAAGTAAACAGAGTGGTCACTGTGGATGAAACTGGAGGGGGCATCGCTGCATTAGCTTGGTCCTCTATCAAACAAGACTTTTTAAAGTTGTGTCCAGTCCAGAGGCCGCAGCCTAAACATACTGAGCAAAGAGAGCCAAAGCACAACTGTAGCAGATGTGTGCAAGAGGAAGCCCTGAGTACGAACATTTCTAGGTGTGCTGTTCATAGAAAATACTTGCTCTGACTTTCTGGATGAGAACTAAAACTAAGAGTTTTGTACATCATCTTTGCAAGACTTTTCTGACATTGTCAAGAACATAACACTGATCACACACTCAGATAGACAGACACACTGACAGACAAAAACTCTTGTGCCTGTTTGAACACACATACTTACTCACTTTTGGGCTCTTATCAAAGTGTTGAGTAGTTGACTCAGTGGCGGAACGTTATGCTACAATCAGATATTAATCTTCAGAGGAGAACACACAGGTGTTGGAACAAACAGCGTGTTAAATAATACCACCTCAAAAGAGCCTGTACGTTTTGTTTTTTTTTCTGGACTCCTACTGTTAGACATATATAAGTTAAAGGAGCCACTTTCGTCTCAGCTGCTTGTCAGAGGCTGTGCCAGGGATCTATTGGGTCCTGTTTATGTTTCAGTTGAATTAAAAATCTGTTTATAGTTATGCATGTTAGGAAAATTCAAAAGCCTCTATCGTCTGTTTTTGCTTTCCTAAAGGGTGAAAGTAATTTTACTTATTATAAATGCAACATTATGATTAATTTCAAGTATAATTTACTTTTTATATTAGAAGGAGAGAAAAAAACTACCACCCACAGACACATAATATACACATGTAATTCAATTGAGGTTTTAAAAACTAGAATAACAATTTAGTACTTGACTGTTTGAGTGTCAGATTTGCTAGACCATACTAGTTGAACCACACATTTTCAACTTCAAACACACACACACGCACGCACACACACACACTCGCACACATGTATACACAAACTCCCTCCACCCTTACCGAGAATCATTCCACATGTCTAGCAGGCTTACCTGTGGCCACAAAAGAACAAAAACAAGCAGTGAATGTAGCGTCTGCCAGCGTGCAGGAATCCTGTCACTGCATGCACTGTAATGAGCTCTTAATTATCCTGTCTGTCTGGGGCACTAGCGTAGAAGTTGCAACACTAACACTGAATTGTGTATGTGTGTGTCTATGTGTACTTTTTGTTTTTAATGTGCCCGTTGTGCAATTATCTATCTGTGTGTGTGCGTATGTGCGTGTGTGTGTGTGTGTGTGTGTATGAACTAAGAATCAGCATTAAGCAGATGTCTGGAGACATGTCCTGTTGACAAGAAAGCTGAGACAGTATTTCATAGCCCAGACAACAAAGTGAAGCAAGGAGGCTTTAGGAGGAGATGACTCTGTATTTTCTTATTCAGTCGTCATCAAGGGGCAAAACTGTGAGGTTCCAGCCACACATGATGGAAAACATCTTTTGTAACAACAAGAAGGGAATCCATTTAATTATAATGTGTTGATGGGTGATCCATCACCTGGTAATCCTCAAACAAACAGGCCCTGGGATTTAAAGTATCTACAAAATACAACAGTGTCTGGCATGGCTGCCAAAGCAGAGCGAGTGTGCTGTTGATATGTAAACACGTCCCTGTGTCTCTAGATGGGATTTACTACAACAGGTCTATTTTTGTTTGAGCTTTGCTTGTAAATCTGTATTGTTGCTGTCTTTGTTTGATCCTACACATACAGGAACGCTGTGACTGATGTCAGCCGCCAAATACATTTGCAGTCTGCTGTTCAGACACTCCAACCAATAAACGAAGTGGGAGGGAGAAAGGTCCTTCGCCCTGTTATTTAATTATTTTACCACTCTTGCCCTGCGGTTTGCCGTCATGATGGTAATACCACAGATTAAGGTGTGTGGTTTTTACAGCCCTTCCCCTTGTCTGTCTCATTCACACACACTCCTTACAGACAGCCCCCAGACACTAGCGGCTGTAACGTGAAGCTCCAGGCCTTCACTGCTTCTGATAGTTTCAGCTGACATTAATGTGTTGTGTCTGCTCAAAGTGTATGTACTGTACGTGTGTATGTGTGTGTTGTGACATCTTACAGCTTTGAAGTCTGACAAGTCTGCTTCGTTCTAATTCCCGCCCTAATCCTGTGCGAGGCAGACAAATGCAAAGCAAAGAGCCGCTCTTCTGCCGTCTGAACCAAGTCTGTACATCTCTCCCTGGCTTTCTTTGTTTCCAAGTCAGAAACTTAAAACTTCAAGCAGAAACTTAGCTGCAGGTGCTGTTTTTGTTTTTCCAGACATACACATACAACACTGACATCATCCTCACAATCATCAGAAAACTGAAATCACAATGACCGTATTGTGTTGACATTCAATTTCAACGTAACGAGTCTGTGATGTTTCTGAAATGGTTGACTTGTTCTCTCCTCAGTACAAGCTGTGCAAGTGAAAATCAATATCAACAGTAAGTAAAACACGGGTAGGAGACCCTGTGTTCTCAGCAGTCAGCTGTTAGATAGGCCTTTACTGGTGACTCAGCGCTGGCTAAGCTAAGCACAAGGCCAAACACTACAGTATGGCTGTGATACACACTGATAGAGTTCCACCCACACATGGCTGGGAGCTCTAAACAAGCCCTCTGTACCAAGCAACATGCTGATACAAAGTTAATGAGATTCATTAGCTGGCATGAGAACTAGAGAGTGGGTGGGTGGGGAGGGCACACAATGAGTGCATGTGTGTGTGTGTGTATTTAGTCTGCGTGCTTTCAGACATGGCATCCTGTTAAAAAGGATCTGACATATGACAGAGAGTGAATACTCATCCTCACTCTAGCCATCACCCACACAGCTGTCCACAGCACACATATATACACAAATACACACACACACACACACACACATCTCAGTCTGCCACCTCCCCTACCCCCTCACGAGTGACGTGATTGCCAAGGTAACAGGCAGCTGTTAAATTCCTAAGGTTGTGGTGTGTGTATATGTATGTGTGTGGAGGCCAGCTTCAACACCCAGGCCAAGCCCGGTTGGCAGCATCCGCCGTGCCACCTGGCCAAAGACTCAACCCTGCACACTGTGGGGCCCAGACCCACCAACGCAGGGCATGCAGGGACAGAACTGACATGAGCTACCCACTGCATTGCCAACACGTAACAGCTCCCTGATTATTGGAACAGAATAGGAAAGTGCCTCTAGTTCTGGAAATCCACATGAAGAGCTCTTGACTTATTTTTATCTTGGGTGAAGGGCACATTGATGTGTAACAGATCTGTGTTAGAGAGTACTTACCCTTTGGCAAATGAAACAAGATATGTTTGTTTTAATACGGGGGATTCAAAGAAATGCTGATTACTGTAAACTGACTTTACAAGGTTGTGGTGATTTGGTTTGAATTTTATCTGTTGCTCATAGCTAAATGCATCAGTGGTCCTCACCTTGGGTTTGGTGAATGGGACGTGGTGGGTTGTTTACTGGACCTATCCGCATACTCCTCTGGTAGCGCTCAATCTCTGACAGCCTGTCTGAAAACTGCATCTTCTGGGAGTCTTCAATCTTCACTCTGTGCCCTGAAACAGCAACATGAAGAAGAGTGGTCAGGAAAAAGATATAAACAACTTAAAAATGTATAATCTAGACAAATAGGAAATGGTACATAAAGCACTCTTTATTTCAGAGGTAAGTAGGGTAGTTTGACATGAACGAGCAAATATCCTCTTTCTTTCTAGTCTTAATTGTAACTTGAAGACCATCAGTATCCTACATTGGATTTTCCAACCACTCACTCAGAATGAAACTGTTCAAGTGAGACACTGTCACCATGTTTTCAGCTACCAAACACAAAAATATTATTTGAATCTTAGCAGACCTTGAAATACATGGGCTAGACACTAAGTGTTACCCAGGCTGCACCTGCTGTCGCGTCATCTGCAGATAACGACAGTATGAGTGTTTGAAAAATAAATGCTTGAGGAATGCTGTTTTTCCCCGACCCTAAGGTCTGAAAAATAAAACTATGAATAGTGACATCAAGCATTTCTATGAACTGACAAAGTCATTATTATCTTGCAACTTTGCTTTAAAAACAAGAAGGACTGAGTGGATCCACTCCATTAACCACCCTTCTCACTAACGCCCACACACCCCAGGTCTTACTGACACAGCACTTAGTCAGAGCAGACACTCAGACCATATAGTCATCAGGCTTAAATACATAGGATAAAAATAGAATGAAAGAGAAAGAGAAGGAAATGAAAAGTGTCGGTGTTTGAGGGGAAAATCGGCTCGAAAAGTGAATGTGTCCAGCTGCGACTCCAACAGTCTTCAGCACCTTCTCATTGACAGAGATGGTCAGGGGGGGAAAAAAAAGCTCCGATCAGGCCTTTAATGCAGACACAGACATGTACTCAGACATGTATAAATACTCACAGACACACATAAACATACATGCACTTGCTCTACACACACCTTAAATGTCAGATGTGAGTCCGGATGAGGGCTAGGCCTCTAATGGGAGGAAGACATTTTAATGTAACTATCAATGTACCAAAACTGTGTGTGAACCAGCATGTATACATTCTGTGGTTTTCTCCCTGGTATCTCTACAGAGTAGCCTAATGTGAAGTAATGGCTGGATTTGAATATTTTATCACTATATAAAGGGGGCAAGGCAGACGGACCAATATGGATTTTGCCCGTCCCCTCTCTCCACTGACCCATGGGCAATATATCTTCCCTCTGAGGCTGACCCATGGGTAAAGTTTCCTCTCGTTTACCGCTCTGTCCATTTGTTTGTGCCCACCACCTCCCCTCCATCCTCTCTTTACGAACTATATAGAAATATCTAGCATTGATGCCCCCCCCTCACATGCATACAGATGCTGAAAGGGAATGCAAGTGCCCATTGAATCACACACAACTTCTGAGCGCTTGTACACCCTAAAGCTCCTGCAGTCCAAAATTAGAAAACTGGGGAGAATCAGGATTCCTACACAATTGGAATTTCCATACTTTTCCATACCCTACTTTTGGAAATACTACAAAACATAAATTTTTTCCAACCAGTGAATTTCAATTTCAATACAACAAAGACCCGGAAATTGATCGAATAGATTTCCATACTTTCCATGCTAGCGTAGGAACCGTGGAGAATGATTTCCATTAATAATATGATGTTGTCTTTTCGGTGTGAAAATAGAGAAAGACTCAATCTGTTTCTGTTGAAATAACATTTCTGTCGCTGTTCTCTGGCGTCTTGTTTACTGGGCATTAGGAGGTTGGACACCAATACAAGTGTGCATGTGTATGTGAGTGTGTGTTTGCTGACAAACTAGTATGATGGTTTTGACTTTTTTGTGACCAGTCTGCCTTTTCCTCAAGCAGACCTCCACTCTTCCTAAAGAGTGGAGGTCTGTATTTTCCCTGCCCCTCTCTCCCTCACAGACAGCGATAGATTCAGCGGGCTTTGGCATCCACATAGACACTGACTGCTCTCTGTTCCAGGCCAGGGCAGAGGGGGGAAGCAGCCTCCAAATATAGCCCCTATTTGTGTCCTTGTGTAGTTATTAAGAGATTTTCACCACCTCAAACAGCTGAGGTCAGGGAAATGATACATCCCACTGCTCTCTGGTTGGAAAAGTCACAGACAGCAGGAAGAAAAAAAAAGATTATTGGTCAGTTTTATGTGGCAAATAGTTGAACTAGCTGTCTCTGTAGTGATGAAAGTGATCATTCAGCTGCCCGCAGACACACATACGCACCATCTGACACTACACCTAAGTGTAGCAGTGGATCCAGTTGCCTGCAGTTGGCAGATCAGAGATGCACTATGTTTGTCGACACACTGTTCAAAGCTTCTAGTAGACGGTTTATGGAGCTGTGAGAGGGTGATGTGGGGAAAGCAGACTTGAGGCCTGGAGTGTATTAACTCTTGGCCAACTGTCGCTGTTATCACCACCAATCTACAAGAGGACAGCTCAAAATTCAATGATATACTTCTCTGTTTGTCTTTTTCTTTCAGTCTTTAATACTCATGAAATAACCGAATCAGAAGGGCAACACTCTCACCTATTTTCCGTCACCTTTGTTTTAACTTTTTCATTATAACAAATAGCTACATTGTGCTTGACAGTAAACAGATAAATCAAATCAGAACCTGTCTATGATCTATTTTTTGTCTTTGTGTGTCTCCCTTTTGCTTTTACTCTTGTTTTTATAGACAATAAGTGAGAAAGTTTTGGGGAATAGCTTAAAGTGCATCAGACAGACTAAATCAGTATCCTCCTCTTGTGTTAATGTGTTGTCTTTGGCCAGCTGACCCTGTCCAAAGCCACAGCGTGTCTGCCCTGACCGCCAACATTTGACTTCTAGTCGGCAGTGCCGGAGGCCAGAGGGGTACCAGCACTGTGCACCACCATCCCCTTTTCAGAGGGGTTTCTGTGGTTGGATGAATATTTTATGTGTCAGGGTGCACTTAGGAGAGAATGCCCTTGTTTTTCTCTCTATGATATCATAACCACAAGATAGAGCTGGGAGATGGGGACCAATGCACACATGAGGCCTAAACAGCAGCGCTCAATATGCACCAAGAGTCGAAATGGATGGTAAAGGTTGCATATTTACAAGCCTCCTTTCAGAGTAGCGGTTGCTTCATCTGAAAGCATTATGGAAGTCTATGAAGAACAAATAAAATGCTGGATATAAAATGTCTGGTATTAACGATGTACTGAGAGGCTGTGGCTGTTTTGAAGGAATGGGTGTGCCGTTCTTACTCTTGCTTTCCGAGTGTGCGTGTGTGTATGTGTGTCTTTTTATTTCCTGGTAGTGTTTTATCGTCACTGCAGAAAAACTTGAGATGTTGCTTTGCTTGTTTGCCCCTCGTGTTGTTGAATTCGTTGGAAGAGTATGAAGGGTAAATAGAGCAAAGTTTTTTTATTTTTAATGATATTGCCCCAGTTTTTCTAAAACCAGACCACACAAACAGCAAACTGTGATACCCAGCCTTCCCTTGATACAAAGCCTGTATCAATTCAACACAGTGACAGAGTTTCTCAGTCTGGTGACAGCCAAGTCTTAAACACCAACACCATGGCCAATATAACTTGTTTCCTTCCTTTGTTGCTCTCACTTTTCCTCCTCTTCTTCTCCCTCTCCCTCTGTCTCTCTCTCTGTCTGTCTGTTTGTGTCTGACTCCATTGAAAGAAAGAACATATGTTCCCGTCCAAAGGGAGACATATTAAACACAGGCTCTTTTTAGTAAAGGTCTGAGTGCTTTTTCAGGGGCAAACTGAAACTCTATCTAGACGGCAAAGGGCAATACGTGCTTTGGATCCAGCCCAAGTCTGCACTGAATATATTTGAAGTGTAAATATTTGTATTGAACGTATAAATGGACTTGATAGGCCACTGATAACAGACTGGAACTGACTGCAGGTATCACATCTAATACTAAAAAATATGTCTCGGCTGTACAGTCTGTGTAAGTATGCTATAGGATTACATGCAAAAATGTCTGGGTTAAAACATGTTTAAACACAATATTAAAAAGGTTTTGTGAGAGCAACTGGCTTTCCTACTTGAGCATGTTTGAATGAGCTTTTTGTTGATTCAACAACCAGCTTCTTATAGCTTTGTTTCTGACTTTTTTTCATTTGAATACTGTGGAATAGAGAGTTGATAGAAACAGCATCCTTATCTAACTCTGAAACCTCACAGCGAGATGTAGGGCGACAGTTGAACTCATGCTGCAAAGAGGCCTACTTGCCTGCAAGTACACATCCGTTTGCCCTCAACAGATACTGGGGACGTTTTAACATCTGTTGAGCTAAGTCTCGTACACCTGTCTTCCTCTTCCTCCTCTCTAGCAGACCTTAACACCCTGCATTTTCGTTCCCACCCTGCTTCTTTCCGCTGCTCTTTCTCATACTTCTCTTTCTGTTCTATTCTTGGCGCCATAGAACCGCTCAGTAGTGTCTCTGTACACTTGGCACTGTGGTTCCCGGGGCCACCAATCACTCTGTGGGGTATTTACAGTGAGGCGAATCAAAGTTCTTGTTTTGAGGCTGACCCAAAAGGATGTGGGTTTTACCTTTGGCTGGAGATTTTGGCTGTCTGGTCTAGGCATAAATGACTTGTTGCCTGCCACACACAGACTTTACACCTTCTTAAGCTCATTTATCCAACCGTGTTTTGTGAAGTATTTACGCTTAAGGTTTAACAACTAGATAATTACTATAGATTAAAGGTCAGACTATTTATATCTCGGCACACTGACTGTGTGGGTTCAGCAGATCTAAGAAATGTGGTTAAAAAGAATTCATATGAAGCTTATTTCTATCTGAGCTCTCAGGAGGAGGTCAGAAAAAGTCATCGGCCTCTCTGACGACAGCCAGGGGATCGTCTGGGTCCTTCAGGCAGATTCATCAGACTCTCTGGGGACATCAGCAGTGTGAAAATCCCCCTCACAAGGCCCTGAAAACAAGCTGTTCACAGCGGAAGTTGCTACATGAGAGTGTTTGAGCGAAGAGCACAGCCTTTCTTTTCTGATAAGAGGATAAAGCTCTTCTCGCAGTCTCTGTGTGTCTAAGTGAGTGTGGAGCAGAAGCAGTGCCACACAAAGACAGCCTTGCAGCGAGGCAGGTTCAGGCACGCTAAGGGAGTGAAGGGGGTGCCAAAATAAGGGCCAGTGCACCCGGATTTTTTAACAATACAAGGCACATAGTACATCGAGAGCAATCATCCCTCTTTTGTCCCTCCATTCCATACTGTTTGTGTGTGTGTGTTTGCCCGTGTGTGTGTGAGTGTATGTGGTAGTTGGGAGTGGAGACGTGTGAGGTTGATATGAGCGAGGCTGTTTTTCAGGCCTTTTTGGCTGCTTGCCTACAAACTTGAAGATTTCTCAGTGCTGCTGCTTCTGTGGCTGTTTTTGCCACGACTACTTTGGAAAAACAAAATTTGGTTCTGGTGATGGATCATATTAATGAAAAAAGCTTTTTTATATGTGTGTTTCTGTAGCTCATATGATAAATTATGTCGTTTTGCATGTCTGTGTGCATGTTTGCCTGTATGATGTTGTGTAAGCAGGGGGGAAGGTAGAAGACTCACAAGGCTGTGGGAAAGGAAAGAGAGTTGCCACTGACACATACATCAATGCAACGGCAACAGATGTGTCAAACGGCTTCGTATTCACACCTCTGAACTCAAAACTCACACACAACAAGTATACGTTTACCTCAAATCATGCACAAGAACACACACTCACACAATTAATATTCCAGGCAGGTTAAAAATGTGTGAAAGACAAATGAGTGATATGTTCCATTATGTGGGCGTGCAAACAAACGAATTCTTATACTTATGCAAGTAGATTGCTGCGGTTATGTTAAGGTTAGAAAAATCCATACAAATGTTCTTTGATGTTTTAAAAAGTTCAGCTCCTTCTGTGTTTACCCAGAGGATTACAGCCGTCTCGACTCTTGGAAGCATGAGAAAGATTTCACTACACCTATTATTTGTTCACTGTTCCTAACCATTAAGGACTGAAGAAATAAATATCCAAAACCACAGGTTGATGGTACACAGTGTCTTTTCCAGTAACCAGCAGGTGCTTTCTTCCCACAAACATCCCACCCCCTTCCCTTCACTCCATCCCCACTGACCCGACACAGAATACAGTTTATCATCATAATGCAGCGGGGGTTAAAGTATCCCTCCGCTCGTAGACCATTTATTTTTCTAAATGCAGAATGGAACTTTTATTGGATTACGTCTAAAAGGTCACGATGGCTCCCTCCTGTATGGGTCATTGTAAATAAGGACGAGTAAGCACACACAGAGTGGGCATTTGACTTCCCCTCATAGGTAGGTAAACAGGAAAGACGCTTGGCTGCTGAGTTCGGAGGGGAGTGTGTAGGAGGTAGGCAAAGAGTCAGAGAGGGAGTGAGGGTGCTGAGTCGCCATGTTGGCTAAGCTTGGGAAAATGTCTTCAGTTGTTTCTTGAGCGTGTAGATCCACCTAACATCAGTAGAAATGAGGTGGTGGAGGTTTGTGCCCAAGGAAAAGCATCTGTGCTTATCTCTTCCAGGCCTGAGGATGGGACGTTGCGCTGTTTGAAATTGTTAGACAATGTTCTTTTCTTATCAGGAATATTTAGTGATGCTGGAGGAACATGCAAGCTCAGAATAAAGAGGGTAAGTGACCTTGACAAGCATTTGGGTGTTAATTCTCTCTTTCTATGTAGCCCCCAGAAATGTGGTCAGGGTGGCAACAGTGGTAAAAGAGCGTCCATCTGAGCCTTTTATTACCGTTCCAACAGATCATGTTAAAGACGCTTTTTTTGTACGTCTTATCTCCCTTTATTGACGCCAAAAGCAGCAATCTGGCATTCATTTCTATCTTATCTAACATCTCTCATAAATGTCTTGCTAAATAATTAACAGTAGTGTGTGACTGCTAGTCTCTTATACTTTAGACAGCCTGCGTGACGACTGGAGGAAAGTCTCCGTCACAAGCCTCAGACCTCAGAATGTGGCAAGTTTTTTTCCCCCCCAACACACAAAGTCCCCTCTGAACTCAGTCCAAAACTTTTCAATGTGCACTACTGCATTCCAGTGGATTTATCAGTTAACCAATATTTGCTCTACTTCTAATCACTGAGGCTAAGTATGATGCGTATGGAGTGACCTCAGGGAAGGGGAACGCCACGGTTGACGGCCTCCATTCAGTAGAGACGCCACAGTGTCATTTCTCAGAAAAACTCATAAAGTGGTGTCTTTATCTGTTCCAATCTTGTGTTAGTGGTACTGAACCAGCCTATTTTCTCTTCAGAAGCATAAATTAGGTGGTCATGAGTTTGATTGCAGGGGCAAACCGCTTTTCGTTGTGTATTTATACGTGTGGGTGTGTATGTGCACAGGCTACTTTGTCTCCAGGTTACAGATCTGGGAGTCATGTTGAGCCATTAGCAGTCAGGAAAGCACCCAGCATGAGACGTGCCACTATTTTCCCCTCCCCTGGCACTGATACACCTGTAGGCCTTCTTTTTTCAAAGACACCCATCTCCATTTCCAAACATCAAAGTTGCCTTTGAGAGAGCAATTCGCACTGAGGGTGAGCCTTTCATGTGATTTGTGGATCATGGGCGTGGCCCGGGGGCCGACTTAAAGAGATGGATGCACCTGGCAGGTGTATAAGCTGAGCACGCACACGCAAATACATACGCATCAACACACATGCTATCTTTTTTGTTGACTTTACAGAGGGACAGCAATATCACAGGAAAAATAACACAGCAAATGTCATTGTTTGTCTATTTGCATACTTTGTACAGTCTGTGTGCCAAATGCAAATAGAATCAACCTACCAACTTTAACGTGCACCCCCGCTGCCCTGACTCCCCCCACACCCGCCATTCTCCTCCTGGAGCTGTGTGAACACACCCAGCAAGGTAAATAGAGGCAACAAAACACGACAGCACTTGTGTGATTTTGATGGGTGTGTGGGCCCATGGGTGGGAAGGTGTATTCGGCCTATCTGAGTGTATGCAAGTATTACATGTACACTGTATAATTGTGTTAGCGGTTAGGGTGTATCATCTTTAACTTTCATCATAGTGAGGCCTGCAAATCGTCAACAGCTATCTCTCTCTCTCTCTCTCTCTCAGTTTCTCTAACATTGGTCCACACTGGTCTACAGCTGAAGGCAAAATATTGACTTTTTGGTCCGTATCAGAATCATTTGCATATTTTGCTGCTGTGACTCAATTTTATCTTTGTCAAAAAATAAAAAAAATAACTTTAAGATTATAGCCAGATACAGATGTAACTGTTGTGCTGAGTCCTTGAAACTTCAGCAAATACACATACTTGAACATTGAAGTACATACTTGAACACATGGAAGTTCAATATAAAAGTAAATAAATGCACATTACACACACTCTCTTCTTTCATTCAATCAAAAGTCTTGATTGTGTTTTATCTGTTATTAACTTATTCAAATGCTATTATGGGGATTACTTTTTCAGGCCCTGAAATAGAACACACACACCCCCTCAGTGTGAAAATTATTTCTGAACAGTGTCAGACCACTTTGGATCTCTCTGCCCAGCTGACCTGCAATGAGTTCATCTTTCTTATAGGGTACTGATTCATTTCAGGTGGAGAGATACAGAAATACAAACTCCCCCTCCCCCATAGGAAATCAGCAGAGGCTGATATATTTATAAGTGAGAGAGTGAGAAGACACCCAAAATAAAGTTTCCCCCTAATGTTGAGTATGTGTGTGGAGGCATTTGAGAGTAGGGGTATTCAGGGAGGGTCTATGAGGATTTGATTGATGTGCTTCTGTCTTTCTAGAACAGCATGCTTTGTCTTCTTATATGAATGTGTCATATTGTTAAAGCTGCTGCTCTTAAAAAATGAGGGAAAGTTTTCCCCTCAAACAGTCCGGCCTTAAAAAAGTCCTTTTTGATCAGGGTGTTTCCCTGTGCATGTGTGTGTTTGTTCAGGGGGTTGATGACAAATGCTGGATGTATGATGATGAGGAAATTGGCAATAAGGGAATCAATAATACTGAGCTGATTATCGAGCCCGCTTTCTGTTTAGAAACAGAATATTGTCTTCATGTGTTTGTTTATTGCATACATGTGTGTATGCAGGCATGTGAGGATACATTAGTGCACACACATGAGTATGTATATAGGTCTCTATTTTAGGTGTTCTTTGTTATGTTGCTGCAGGCAAGGCACTGCTGCCGTCCTGTCCATCAGGTTCTCCCAACTAGATAAGTAAACATTAATAAACCTCCTTCCTCCTGTGCCAAGTCCTGCCGCCGCTCGACTGGCAGCCATGCAAATGCAGGATCCACACAAACAGTCTGCACAGTTCCATACAGGTAGGCCTCGCAGTTTGCCAGCCAGTGGACAGGTGAGCACAGCGGGGCCAAGTCTGCCTTTAGGCCGTCTGCATTCTGAGTTACAGAGCTGCATGTGCAGGCGGTAGTGTGTGTGTGTGTGTGTGTGTGTGTGTGTGCGTGTGTGTGTGTGTCAACGGTATGAAATTTGGTAATAAAAAAATACTGTTACTTTTATGTGTTGGCTCTAGTGCCCCTCTGCTCTGGCTCTAGCCAATGTGGTGCCTTGCGGTTAAAGAGAATCTGACTGTTTTTATGATGTCTGAATCATGGTGTGTGTTCCCGATCTTCATGGTGCCAGGACATGACTGATATTTTACTCTCAGAACGTGCTTCTTGTTTTAATATGAAAAGTTTTTTTTTTAATCACAATTTCTATATTAACACGTCATTCAATATAAAAACCGAACTGCAAATTTTTCTCCGTTTTGACGATTTAAACAAAACAATACCATAAACATTGTAAATGTGATGGTCTGACAGTGCTGTCTTTGACACAATGATCAGCTGTTTGAATCACCTGTTCCATGTAGTATTTGTCTTCACTGTGAAGTAAGGGACGTACTTTTTATTTTCCAGATATGCTAAGACTTAGTATTTCAGCCATCAGAACAAATCTCTGGCTCCAGGGGATGAAGCTAAAGCAAGTCCCAGTTGGTATAATGAGACCTTATTCAGATTCTCTTCAGCCCTTGCAGAGGTTTATTTTCTGTCATTCTATGAATTCCCTTTCAGCACTGTGAAACTGAGTTTAATGGAGTCTTAAATTCTTGCTGCCCTATATTAAACCCTGTCACTTTATAGCACCCAGCGCCAGTGCAAAAGTAGCACAGCCACTCTGACACCTCAGCTGGAGCTGTGACGTGCTGACAGACAGATGGGAGACAACATTTAATGTACTGGAGAGGCACATTAAGATGCATTTGTGCTCTGACACACATTGACTAAAAAAAGTTTAAAGTCAAACTTTTTACACACACGTACACTCATACAAACACATGCAATGTTTATTATTATCCAGTCCCTCCCTCCTTTGCAGGCACCGTTCTCTTTAATGCCTCTGCAAATAGCATCCAGCCTGGCATGGGTTGTGTGATGCCTCCTCTCTATGTGCCCCCCGGCTTCTTCTCTGTCAGCCATATACTCCCTCATGTGGCATTAGCAGCCATTCCCTCGTCCTCTAGCTATGTTCTGTTATGACTAGGCTAAATCCACCCTGTCCCCACTATCCCCCCTCCACAGACAGGAGCATGAGCCACAGATATCTATCTCCCTGTTCAGAGGTCTCTAAAAACCGTTCAATCTGGGAGCCATTGTAAACATGATCATGAAATCTTACCCACCTGTTCTATCCCACCTTGAGTCATGCATGCATGCATACACAAACGCCACCAGCCCTGACCCATCCGGGCATTACCACTCCTCACCATTCCTCACACCAGCAGCTTTAAAACCACATGAAAACACTGGTGCTAACAGCTTTAGCACGCTGAGCCTCCTTGCCAGGCCTAACAGCAGCCGGGGTCTGCCCTGCATTAAATCAACGAGCCACTTATGTGGTCAGTCAGGTGCAGCCCCTCTGACCAACAGGGGTGAGAGGGGGAGGATGAGAAGGGGGACTGAGCTGAGCCACCTGCGGCTTGGAGACTCACTCAGCCCCTCTTAGTGGTCTTGGGTTATGCCTCAATATGCTTTACAGTTCCCTCTGACTGGGCACTTTCCTGCGCCCTTGCTGAACACACACATACACGCACACTAAAACTTACATACACCCACAAAGCGCATCACTTTACTTGTGTTGAGTACGACATTGCCAAGCCAACAGTTTGCCTAGTTTTAGTCTTTAATTTCAATCCTTACAACTACAGGAAACAGACGCGCAAACATGAACGCTTGAGTTTCTTACTCGGGTTCAGACTGGCACCCATACCGACTAATATCAAATCAAAGATGAGACACTTCTAACCAAAATTCACATCACCACAAAATGCACTGCGGCATCAACTGAAGTGGTTTTGGTGAGTGTGTGGGTGCGCGTCCGTCTACTCACTGCGCGGTTCCCGGGGACCGTCCACGGTGACTTTAATGGCGCGGTGGTAGGTCGCCACTTGAGGCGGTCCAGTGAACACAGTGATGGTCAGGGTGAAACTCTTTCCTGCAGAGCACAAACACACCAAAAGATTTATGGAGAAGTTTCGTTTCACGTCATAAATGGCCTTTTTCAATTATCTGTAAACTCTTTGTTTCTTGTTTCCAACAAAACTGCGTTTGTTCAGCTTTAAATCATCGCCGGGTTTCTCCTGCTGAAGTCTTCGAATTAAGAAAAAGAAGACAGAGACCACCTCTTTTGATGGCCTGACTGCGGGTATGATTCAGATTATTGAGCGAATCTGTTCCAGATTGCCCCAAAAAAAGAGCTCACAGCGACAGTTTACTGTTCAACAAGGGGAGGATCTTCCTCCAAATCTGCATCAAAGTCCTCAGAGGGACGAAAGCTGTCTCTGCAGAGGCTCCAACAAAAAAAAAAAAAAGAAAATCCACTCACATCAAAAAGGAAAGAGAAAGAGTAATCAGATGTGGTAAATGTTGACTTTAATGAAGAGTCAAAACTACTCTTTTTCATTTGGAGACTATAAGCCAATGAACGTTAAAGCTGATCCAGTCAGAGCTTTTTTACATTTTATGATAAAATTAAACAATTCAAAATGTTTTTTTTTATTAAGATCTTCAAATTATTTTGATCTGAGACATGTCATCATTTATTACTAAAATTAGAGACGTTTTAATTCAGCCAGTACGGCGCATTCACCACATCATCCCGTCCTGAAGATTACAGGTCCGTTTATTTCTGATTTTTTATTTTTATTTCAGCTATGATGACAACAATTAAAACCATAATCCGCGAAGAAAAGGCTGGAAGCTTTTGTGGTGAGGATTATTTGACAGGAGTGGGGTGTGTTTTTTTTTTTTTCATTCATCCCTCGGATTAAGAAAATTATAGTCACATCGCAATCGTTCACCGTGACGCAGGCCAGATGTTTCGGATGACACCCGTGGACGTCAGTTGGCAGAATGTGGGCACTCGGCATACACATACCTAAGTGATTCCACATTTTCAGTTTTTCTCGGTGTAATGGGCAACAGAGACGAGGCCGAACTGGCAGGAAAATATTCTCAAAACTGTAAGCTCTATTTTAAGGTATCAGCGTTTCCTATGTGAGCGTCTGTGTAACTCCTAACTCCTTTTTTTCACGTCTTCTGTGGAATAATAACACGCTGTCAGCTGTCTGTCGTGTCTCCATTCAGACGCAGAAATATGATCCGAGAAATTATTAAGCGCGTCTCCAAATGTTGCTGGAAATGTAATGACGAGACGTCCTACCCAATCTACCCATTCTGTTTGCAGGCCTTCGTGTGTGTGTGTGTGAGTGAAAGTGTGCGCGAAGGAGGGATAGAGAGGAGGAAAAAAAAAGCGTACCTCGTCCGCTTCTGCCCACGAAGCGCAGGTCGTTGAAGCGTGCCACCTGGTTCTTCATAACAGCGGAGGCGTTCCTAAGCTCTGCCGAGTAGTTCTCATCGTTCCCGGCCATTACGGTGACCAGAGTCCCGTCGGGTACGTCACCGAGGGCCACGACCTGCACAGGAGAAACCGGGCGGTCAGTCCAGGTCACCAAATCAAAACGCACACACTGCGCGCGGCGAACCGCATCCGGCTCCCATAATATCAAACGCAAATAATCCCACCTGCCTCTCAACAACAACAACAACAACAACAACAACAACAACAACAAAAAAGACTAGTCTGACTGTGAATGATAATCCCCGGAAATTTTATTTGGTAGACAGCAACCAGACTAATGAAATTTGGAAATGCAAACAAAATAATCTAATATTAAAAAAGAAACTAGACTGGCGCCCTTGTGCTGTTCTCGGAAAAAATCCAAGACTAAACCCAAATGATACAAGGTTTAATGCTGAAACACACACACACACACACACACACACACACACACACACACACACACACACACACACACACACACACACACACACACACACACACACACAGAATCAATCTCATAATTTTGAGAAATGCAATCGTATGAATTCATTTTGGATCTGTTGCGCCAAGTCTTGCAAGACCATTTCTCTGTAAAATAATAAAATAGAATAAAAAAAATAAAAGATGTGCTGATTCTTCATCTTTTTAAATAAAAATGTGGAGCATGGATGATTTTGAAACAAAACATCTTACATTAAAACCACATATGGAAACTCAATGGCAAATGGTCTGTCTCTTTTGTGGATAGATGTAATAAAATTAAAGTTATTAAAGCAAGTTGGTTTGGATGTATTTGAAGTCTTCCGTCAGCGTGTTTCTTCATACAGAGCACAACACCACTAGGCTCCACTAAAATACAATCGTCTAAATGATAAAGACCATCAGAAGTGATATGTGACTGACCTTAAAAGCCACAGGCAGCGTCTTGTTGCATCTCCAGTGAGATGGGAGGACGGAGCACAGGAAGTTGGGGCTGTCGGTCCGGACTAATTCACCGGCATGGTCCGCTAAGACGTCCACCACGTTCCTGGTGTCTGGTCTTGACCTGAGGGGCCCGGGGGTTGCCATGGCCCCGTTGCCGTCTCCAATCTTACTGCAGGGGAAGGACGTTGAGGGCGGCGTGAACCGTCTGGTGGTGGGCGGCTCTACGGGAATATGCATCACAACAGCTTGGGTCAGTGCCACCTGGTCGTATCGGAGGAGTAGAGCTGTTAGGAGGAAAGCTGATTTTCTTTTCTTTTCTTTTTTTCCTTTGGACGCTGAGGGTCTTTAGAGTCTGCTGTGGGTGAGCGCAGGGGATGGAGGCGCAAGCACCCAAGGTGTGAGTGCAGAAAGAGAGAGAGAGAAGGAGAGAGCCCCGCGAACAGGAACAATCAAGTCTGATGACTTTTTACTCGATCATCTGCACAGAATGAGTCAGACTGAGGAACATCGCGGTTTTTTCGTTGACTTCAGCAAAAAAAACAAACTTCCTAACTTTTCTTTTATCCGCGTCCCTATCTACACGGTCTGTTCAGACAACATCAACAACGCAAAGTACTTGAGCTCTCACTTTGACAACTTCAATCAGAAGGCGAGTAATACATTTATGACCAGCCACAATCTTTCGGGGATAATCCGCAAATACATGCGCAAGAAGTTGAACAATCCAGTTGGCTGCTTGTTCGGTTTGTTTCTCTTAAATATGTATATTTAAAAAAACAGCCTAACTTTGCCAGACAGTTCTTCAGACCCCCTAGACTGTGCTGGAGAAAAAGTATTTCTGTATCCTTCAAACCCGAATATCTACAGTCAAAGTCAAGCTGAAGCAGTGTCCCTTTCCTGCGTGGAAGTGCAACTTTATCCTCGTTGAAACACCCCCCACGCACAAAAAAAACAAGGTTTCTCTGGTAGAAGCGGATCTGTCCTCTCGCTCCAGATGAGTTTCTTGTCAAGTTATCCTCAAGCACAGGGTTGCCGGGCGCAAGACGGAGCCGTGAGACTGAAGGCAGTGCAGAGTGCTGCGATATTATTTTACCCGAGTCATTTTAGTGTTTAGTGGTTGGGAGTGTGGAGATGATTTCCACCAATGAATCTGATGGGTTGGGCTTTCACCAGACCAATCAAAGTCTCCGGTGCTGCTCCGCTCTGTGCTGTTGTTACACTAGCTGAATTATTGATACATATCTGCGCTTGCTTTTTGCTTGTGTTTTCTATTCAGCAGATAATTCGACTTAAACGGCAAGCAGAGAGAAACAGGTAGACAACATAAATATGAAGCATTTAACATGTTTATTTTAATTCAGATATAGGCTGAATTCTTGACTGTAATTTATTTTGAAATATAATAAGTTACCACAGACGTCCAATAAGGTGGAATAATGAAATCGCAGAATATAAGTGTGCGGATCAACATAAAAATAGTGGTTGCTGTTTAGTGCAAAGAAACATATTTTAATGTCAGTCTGATAAGGAGACAGTTTAATTAATTTAATTATACATGAGCTGAAAGATGTGCACCTTCTCTGTGCTGCTGGAGTTGTTTACATTACATCTAAATAAGCAGGATTACGATGTAGATGTCTGCGGTTTGACTCTTATTTATCTGTGCAGGAAAGATATTTTTTCTGGCGGCTTTACACCTTCTCCCCCAGATAATGATGCTTTTCAGAGTGAAATTATGGCTACAGAACAGATAAACAGATCCATATCACTTTAATTGACTCAGATCAATTAACAGGAGGATTAAAGCAAAAAGGCCGGGGCATTTTTTTCGACATCAAACCCAACATTTGATGCGTTAGTGCGTGAGTGTGTGTCTGTGTGTGTGTCTGTGTGCCAGAGGCTGAATTCATCATAAACTTCAAATGTTGGAGTGATGAATTAAATGACGGCACTCCCTGAACGCCATGCGGCTTTCTGTCACTAGTTGGCGCATTTGCCTTTTCAATTGCAGACAAATCTCACTTTGTGAGCAGACATTTCACATAGGCAGAAAAAAAGAAACTTCAATCCGTGCACTGAGAAAATGAAACAAATAAGACCAAAGCCGATTCATTAAGGAGAATATGTTAAAAGTTGAAATCAGTGTCGTCCTACATTCATTTTTTCTTCTCCCACTTCAGTTAAAATATATTTTATAAATCAGTGTATTTGAGCTTTATGCCCCAAATCACACCCGTTATGTACATTTTGTGTGTGTGTGTGTGTGTGTGTGTGTGTGTGTGTGTGTGTGTGTGTGTGTGTGTGTGTGTGTGTGTGTGTGTGTGTGTGTGTGTGTGTTTCCTCGTCTTTCAACATGTACCAATTTAAAAATGGTCACTGCAAAGTGTTTAACAAATAAATGCAGACTCCCTGTAGTTACTCATAAAGAAATATTTATATTTGGTTTGCTTATAAAAATCTCTTTATATTAGATCAGCTATACATGTGTTTATATTTTTGTTATGTTCCTTATAATAAAAAAAAAACACGTTTTCCCCTACTACCGTAATGAACATCTCTGCAAAAGATTTTGTGGCCTTATTGATGTTGGAGTTTATTTTAGAAATGCGCTTTGTCCAAAACATTACGGTAACCTGTTCATAATGTTCCTAGATTCAATCACGAAATTTCAAATAAATTTAACTATTAATGTTAGGCGCATTAATTTGTCTCAGCTGTAAATGCCTTTAGTCAAGTCATACTGCATCTTCAAAGTAGGCCCAGAACATTTCCGTGCGCGCGCGCGCGCCTGATGCGCTTGTTATGTGTGTGGCGGTTTTTAAAGTTGTTTACTGCAGGAGAATAAATGAAATGCATTTAAGTAGCGTGTGGAGTCATCAGTGGCTTTAGATTTGTCTTTAATTTCCCACTATCACGCAAATCAAAGCCAAAGAGAGAGAGAGAGAGAGAGACATACACACACACACACACAGGGAGAGAGAGAGTCTAAAAGAGAGACACAAGGAAAGAAAGAGAGAGACACACACACAGGACAAGAGACACAGGGAGAGAGACAACGAAAGGGACACAGGGAGAAAGATGTTTGGGAAAGAGAAAGAGACACACATGGAGAGTGAGAGAGAGACAGAAAAGAGAACGAAAGGGAAAATTCAGAACAAAAATTATCAATGATTTTTTTTGCAAGTTTGCAGTATATCCTTCTGATCTGCTTTGATAAATTAAGTTTTAAAGCTAATCTGAAAACATTATTTCCTCTTTACAAATTAATCAATGAATTTATTATTAACTTGATTAATTGATTCAAAGTGACTCTTTTGGTGTCAAAAAGAACAACCTCCTAGCCCGTTTGCTGCTTTTGTGTTATTTAAATATAGGCTGTTTTTTTTTTGTTTTTTTTTGACTCCAAGGCAGCCCACACTAATAGGAAATGCTAGGACTATCTCGTCATTTGAAAAAGACACTTTCCAAAAGAGGAAATATTTCAATAGTAAAGACAATGTAAAAGCGATCATCCTGTCATTAAGAGATATCTTCTATAGCAGATCTAATGGTCCATGATTTTGACTTTTGAGTTTTTTATTTTTTTTACAAAAGAACAAAGTGAAACCCCAAAATATATAAGTATATGTTTAAGAGCTGAACTCAAATCACTAGCAGCAGCTTAATTCTTCCCAACTGCTGGAAAATACACCTCTGATCAGATCACACATCATGCAGCTTCTATTCTGAGTGCAGCTCCGCTGTAAAATGGGAACATGACAATGCTGGTGATACTTTAGTCAGCTTCCCGCCTTGGTTCATTATTAATATGTGACCACACTCCCCTGCTCTACCCTGCCCAGCCATCGTGTGCTCTAGGCGCCTGTCATATTTAGACCTCTGCTTTTCAACATCCACTTTCTACAGTTTCAGCCACACAAGCATTGAGGACCAGGCCCACAGTGCCCCTGAACAATTTTTAATGATCCGTGTAGGTTGAGCTTGAAATCAAGACAGAAATGTGGAGGATATGTAAAACCCCGGGTCTACCTCAAGCAGGGCTCAATATATATAGTTCTTAGCATCCAAAGATAAGAGAAAGGGGATCTTTTGAGATATAAATAAAAAAAAAAGTCCCATCATTGTTTACTGCTGTTTGCTCTGGGTGAACTTTCTGTGATACACTTTTTGTCCCAGTACTATTGACCTGTTGTCTCATGTAGATACTCTAAGTTTGAAGACGGTTCACTATGATAACAGACAATGTTAGCTGACATGAAGATGTGATTAATCTGCACCGCCATATTCATATGACTCTATATAGGAATGAAAAAAAAAATGTAGCCAATAGGATTAAAGAGATCCAAAACTGAAGTCAGTGAGCACCCCTGCATCTCCAAGTGTAACACCAAAGGGAAACCTATTCACTTTGGCTCTTAGGTGTATTAAGTTGAAAAATAAAGACAAGTACGAGTTAGATCCCTATTAGCAGAGAAACCAAGGGAAGCCTTTGGGGTCTGTAAACTTATACCTGACACAAAATGCCACCCACACTGTTATTGGTGCCACTTGAAAGTCACTTTGAAGACGGGGACGGTCTTTCTTTCTTTCTTTCTCTCTTTCTTTTTCTCTTTCTTTCTTTTTTCTTGCTTTCTTTCTTTTTCTTTCTGTCTTTCTTTTCAACAGAATATGATCTATTAGTCTGTGTAAACTCCAAGGCTATTTCCAGACATCCACACATAAGCCTCTGGATGGGTAGCTATTCATTTGGAATAGAGGGCTATGGGGGCAATTAGAAATAGTTTGAGGTTCGGTGATGACATAAGACAAAGATTTCTATCTTTAGAGGAACCATGGCGGTCACACATTTCTGTACATTTGCAAATTACAGGGCAAGCTTTGGCCCTCAACCCACCAAATGCATTCCTTCCGAAAAGTGTCTGCTCGAATTTCAGCCGGGGGTTTCTGCTCAGTGGAAATATGAGTGTTGTGAATGGACGACCTCTATGAAATGGAGTTTTATTCCTCTTGGATTAAATTAGCTCTACTTCAGGGCTTGTTTTTTTTCTCTTTTTTTTTTTGTATGAATGATGAATTCTGCGGTGGCCGTGGAACGCCAGGCTTGTTTATCCTTCTCCTCCTCCCCCACTTTTTAAGACATTTCTTGCCATGAAATGGACTTTTTCTGCTTGATATGACAAGAGTGTCTGTGATTAGACTTCCAAGAGTGATGTAAGTCACCAAAGTCATTTGTGCCAGTCCCTCAAGGCAAAATCATATTCTAGCGTTGGAGTGTTTATATACACAAGTATACGGAGAAACTTTTAAACAACAGTGAGTGGGTACAGCCTGTTTGGGTTTTGGGCTCTTGCCTCTCTGATGGCTGATTCGCTCTCAAAATTTGATTATACAATGTGTCAGCACATCACAATTGGTGGTCACTTTTGTCATTTTGATGTTCAGACAAGAAAATAGGAAACACATTGAACAGTTTTGATCACATAAATTTGTATGTTATTTTTTCCTCACCGGGGTTGTCTGTGTTAGTTTTAATGATGACTGGAATGCATGTGTATGCCCTACCTTTGCTTCAGCTCCAACAGACCCTCAGAACTTTATTTAAATCGAATTTCTCTAGTTTTCCTCTTCAACCCCTATTCATTTTCTGTATCCAATAACTCATAAGATTGTCAGGCCTCAATTCAAGATCCTTGAAGACATTTAGAGTATATATTACGGTAAAAATGATGGAGAGGATGATGACATTTCCAAAACCAACAGCTCATTACTATGTAAGCCTGATGTGTTGAGATACAGCAGTCACCAGAGGAGACAATGAGCACATTCATCTCATGCATCTTTAATGTTCTGCTTACATTTTATAAAAAGGTGCAGAATGGAGCCAAGGGCTTATAAAAGCCCTTTGAATCAATTGAACAGCATAATGGCTGTTGGGGGACGACTCCATCTCTGTTTTTATTTCTGTCTGCTGAATGTAAATGGGCTTCTTCAAGTGTATACTCATTTCAAATACAATCACAATACATTTGTCTACCTGGCACTCAGTGTTACATTAGATGCATTATGGAATGAGATTTTAAGCAGTAACACTTTATCCATT